GATCTTTGGTATGAACCGAAGGCAGCTGTTGGAAATGGTTTTCCTGACACGCCAAGCATATGAACCATACAGAACAACTGACTTGACGTTAATGTTGGGAATTCAAGTTTTGTTCTTTTCGCCTGGTGTGGTAGATTTCCAAACTATTCTCAGATAAATAAGAGTGTCTGTTTGTTTTCTAACCCTCTTTTTGACAGCTTCATCCGTTCCAACTGCCTGTGGTTGGGACATTGCTTCCTTGATAAGCCCAAGAGATGACCTCATTCAAATTCCTCCCGTCAGTAGTGATTGTTGCTTATTGTCGGTGGTTGATTATCTTCATCACTTCCATCCTCTCTATGTTCACCTGAAGTTCTGTCTTTGCTGCCTGCTTCCTCCGCCAACTTGTTGGTTTACACCAATAGATCTTAAAGTTTGCATGATATGAAGTATTAAATCATCCACGAAATCAAGGTGAACTAGAAGTAAATAATACAGATTATGTACACGTGGAATGTTACGTAGAATAATAACTGCTTTTAGAAGAAATATATATTTTTAGAAAGTGTTAATTAAGCTTAATAAGGAAATACTCCTTTCTGTGAATCATATGACTAATGTTTCTCTAGACATATCACAATATATAATAATAATAATAATAATTGTACACTAGAAGTATTTCTATGCAGACTGCTTAACTGTCAGAATATTTCTTTTCAAAACTGATCTTCAAAATCATATGACTTAAAATATTTACTGAGGCTCACAAATTTCACTTTTCTTACAGGCAGCTGAATTCCATTAAACTGTTTGAAACTAGCCTATTAGCCCTTCATTTTCGTAGATTTTGGTACGTCAATGAATGTTTAGCAGAAGATTTTCATGAAAAATGTCTGAATTCCCATCATTGGACAAATCATCGACATTGAACAAAGATTTGAGTTATTTTTGAAAAAAAACAAACAAGCCGAGTTTTGAAGATATAAAATTTCCCTGAACAGTGAAGGAACTCAGTGACTTCTGCGTTGGTTTATCAAAGTCCCTACAGTGAAAGAGGACGTTCGTTTTCATCTTCAAAGCCCTGGCATGCTTGAGGGTAGGAAAAGATTATTCTCTCACAATGTTTTTATGTATCAGTGCATTCGTACCTTATTAAAGGTAAAGGTATTAACTGCCCTCAATCACTTGAAGATGTTTCAACAAATTTACGACATATGGATCGATGTGCTTGCCAGATAATTAGTCTCTAAAGAACGTTCATCATAAACTGAAAGAATAGATTGGCTTCAGTTGCAAAAATGGTCTGCTAAAATCATGCAAATGTGAAGAAGACTTCACGTTAAAGAAGTGATGACTGGTTTGCCGAAATCAGGGCTTCATTTGATTTTGGCAGTCAAGCAATACCTCACCCTTAAGTCGTATTATTAAATAACCATGGAAATGAGCAAATAGAACTTTTATCTAACAGTCTGATTGTCACACACTTTTTCAGCATCATGAGCTGGTCTTGAGTCCCTCAAAATTCACATCACTTAAATGTGAATAATCATTATGAGTTGGTTGAATAGTGAAAACTCCATAATGTCTACGACAAAAAAGGTTAGTAATGAATATATAAGCCAAAAGTGGTCAATATCACCTTGGAAATTTTGTGGTGATTAGAAAACTTGGGCACTATGGTAGAGTATAACTCCATTATGGATAAAATATTACTTTGATAAATCACAGAGTGTTGTACAGTTATATTAACTGATGACGTTTCGAGAACAAACTATTCCTCATAATCATATCAAGTTTAAGTTGAACTCGCCTTGTAAGGTCCTGGGTTCGAATCCTGATGGGTGCCTACTGCTGAAGAGTCCCAAACTAGGACGAAACCGCTGTTCAATACTCCCAGTTTTTCCAGTGGTTCTCTAACTAATGTCAGCTCATGATGAAAATCCTGTAGTCTACTATATTATTAGAATCACAATTCGCACATATACTCGGTATTGTGATATTTTTAACTTGCTTTCATGTTTCCCCTGCTGTTTCACAAAAATCGCCCATTAAATCCATCTCTTCGCTATTTGATACTCCTGCAGAAGTTGCACGTATTTATATGTGTATCCCAGTACTACTTATAAATCTTGTCAGTAGCACACACCAAACTACCAGTAGTAGTATCAAAATTAAAGGGTAATCACAAGACCGTTAGGCAAAGTTGAACTTTAAGCACCACTAACTATCAATCAGCAAATGACCTCGGAAGTACCAATCACGTGAAGGAGACATTTTTGTATATGGAATTCATATATGAGAAAAAAATGTATGAAAACTGTAGAAAAATGTTACAGAGGATACCTTCTTCCCACATGTGATAAAAACAGATCTCAGTTTTAGGCTGGTGTATCAACATGGTATAATTCCATTGTGGGCAAAAATTATTTTGATAAAGTCTCAGTGCAATACAGTTATATTTACTGAGCAATAAATTGTGCTTGTAACGTCATCAGTAAATATTACTGTATAACACTGTGAAACTTTGTCAAAATAAAGTTTACCCACAATGGAACTATACTCAACCACAGTACACAAGTTTTATTCTTATATCAAAAGAGTAGTTTAACCATACTCTATGTGTGTAATTAATTAGGCCTTCTAACCCTAACAATAACCCTGATGCTTCCTGATCCTAACCCTAACGTGAAAATGTCCCTAAACTGTAATCTTTTTTTATATTACAGTTTGATTCCACACAGTACGTTTTGGTAGAAGTATGGAATTTTCAGCATGTCATATCGGTAGCCCAAATTCTGCAGGCCGACCATTGATATCAGGTGTGCGTCGGCAGGGGATCGAACCCCGAACCATGTGCATGGTCGGCAAGAGTTCTAACCACTGTGCCACCGACGCAACCTAATGACGCCTTTATTAGGTTAACCAAAGCCTAACTTGTGCTTGGCCTAAAGAGTAACTTAATCTTTCCCAAACCTAAGCTGAAACTTGCCAAATATTCCATTAAATAGCATAACACTTCGATTAGCATATTTTATTGATGATGACAACATTATTTGCCGGGTTTCACTAACTTGCTTAGTGAGCGCTTCAAGGTCACTGGTGCGGCCGCACTCCAATGGTAGTTAGTGGTCCTTGAAGCTTAACTTGGCCGACTGTTAAGACAATAAAAATTGCATTATTAAAGGATATCATGGTAAAAGACTATTTCGAAATTCCGCTTCACTTTTGTACAACTCTGATAACCGTATTCAAGTATAAAATATGTATATATATATATATATATATATAATAGCAAGTTAATTCTGCCCTGGAAATATTATGTGACAAAATAGCTCAGTCCTGATTTTTCGATACGCTTTGTGTTATACTAGTAAGCAACCAAATGATCAAAACGAAGACAGATGAAATCTGATAAAGTACTCCAGGTAAGCCAGACATCATTCGGTTTTTCTGAATATTGGATTCTTCAACTGACTTGTTTGTGAAGAGTAATCTTTAGAATCATGTGTAAAATTTCTAAATGGCGGAGAATACTCAGCAATTCTATATCCTTGTATATGAAATATACACAAGTACCCTTCTCGATAGAAAAATTGTTTGCAAAATCCGTCCTGGACAATCTGTTTATAATAGTTATACTTATTTAGACCTTTTAACTGACTTTTTAATTACAATGAGTTTCTCATCTAGACTGCATATCACTTGCATACCACATGTTGGCCCTGACCTTCACTACTCGCCTTTGTCCTTGTTTATTCTTTAATTTATTCCTTCTTTTTGTCGTTTTGTGCACACTAACAATGTGTTGCCCAACGATATTAGTTTGTTTGAGTGAATGAAGGTGATCCTGCCTTGGAAATATCTGAAGGAAGCCCTGGTGTGTGATTCTTGTGGACAGAGCACTTGATCCAACCTCCTTGGAACTCTGGTTAATTAATTTTCCCTTAAAATACTTGTTTTGTATTTAGGAACCTACACTACCTGTATAGCTAGCTGCCTTACGACATTGTAGAGGTGAATATGAGTTTTGATATTAGTATTGTTTAATAGAAGTTCTGAAATATTGAAGAATAATCATTTTTCCCCTGAATTTGGAACGTTTAGTGATAATGCGTGTCTCAACGAAGTTTTGCCGGTTATACAGTAGAATGTAGAGACCAGTTATCTGCGTTCAAACCATAACCGAATAAATTTAGTTAATACACCTTTCTTGAATGAAATGAATTCTCTTATGAGTTGCAATAAATAAAATTGAGAAAAGCATTAAACAGATGTATCAAATTAGTACACCTTGATATAAAGACATTCTGTCATCTTTCTCATAACCACTTCTAAAATATGCAACGTTGATACTCGGTTCAGTAAAGTTCACCGTTGTCGGGATGTATCTCCCATTGTGATGTGTGCTACTGCTAAGATTTGTCAGTAGTATATAAGGAGACGTTCATCGACACACAGAAATATCAAATGGCAAGAAGATAGATTTGATGTCAAAGATAGAAAGTATTTCAGCGGTATAACAAAAAAACATGGGAGATGTGAGAAGGAAGACAAAGAAATACATTTAGAAGGACAGAAATGGAAAAACACGGAAGATCTGTGCAAACTATGACTTGGAGATAAGTGATAGGATCCCACATATTTTGGTATTGACTGTTTAAACTTGCATAGATGGTATGTTATCATTCTCACACATTTTGGTATTGACTGCTAATTTTGTATATTATCATTCTCACGCATTTTGGTAGTGACTGCTAATTTTGTATATTATCATTCTCACGCATTTTGGTAGTGACTGCTAATTTTGTATATATGGTGTATTATCATTCCCACACATTTTGTTACTGACTGTCAATGTCGCACATATGGCATATTATCATTTCTCACACACTTTGTTATTGGCTATTAAGGTCAATTATTTCAAATGCTGTTAGCTGTCCATATTGTTGTAAAATGTATAAATACCATGGCTTTCTTTATCGTTGTTGCACTTCAATACACAGTCACAGTCCAGCCTTTGTCTTTTGATATTTGCGTGCTTTACTAAGTCGGAAGGTACGACAAGCAGATAGACAGATTAGTTCAGGCGCAGACAGAATAAGGTGAAAACGTCTATCATTCAATTCCCCACAGTTATAACAAATTGGCGACGGGGTTTACTTTAATTCAGTGCAGTTATAACAATTGGCGACGGGGTTTACCTTAATTCATTGCAGTTATAACAAGCAAACGACGACAGTTTTTATTCTGTTCAGCGCAACTATATAACATATAAGTTCAGGCGCAGACAGAGCAAGATATAACAAATTGGCGAACGGGGTTTTACTTTAATTCATCGCAGTTATAGCACGCAACGACGACAGTTTTTATTCTGTTCAGCGCAACTATATAACATTTTTGACTGTGTAAATTACAACCCAATTATAATGTCTATCTCTCTGGACGATCTTCCGGTGACTGCAGTTGAGGTTGCCAGACACACACTGCGTGATCCAGTTTTACAGCAAGTATCAAAGTTCATCCGATTTGGCTGGCCTCCACATGTTCATTCAAATGTTTTAAAACAGTTTTACCAGCGACGCAAATCCCTATCCATCGTTAATGGATGCATAATGTTTGCTGATCGTGTTGTCGTTCCAGCTAATCTTCGTGACCATGTGCTTCGGCAGCTTCATATATCACATCCTGGTGTTGGGAGAATGAAGGCGATCGCTCGCAGTTATGTTTACTGGCCCAACATCGATGACCATATCGAAGACCTCGTTCGCAAGTGTAGTAAATGTGCTCAAGCATCAAAGTGTCCACGCAAGACAGAACTATGTTCCTGGCCACGACCGGACAAACCATGGTCCCGTGTTCATGTTGACTTCGCTGGACCGTTCAATAGTATGCATTTCTTAATATGTGTCGACGCGTTTTCCAAATGGCCAGAGATATTTCCTATGCATTCTGCCACATCAATTGCAACAGTGTCCCTCCTACGTCAACTATTACTGAACGTTTCGTCGACACCTTTAAGCGTGCTTATGCAAAAGCGAAGGGGGAGGGAACAACAGAAAACATTTTGGATAAATTCTTGCTGCATTATCGTACGAATGAAAAAGGACAGTTATGTGGCAGACACACAGATCACGCTCTATCCAGTACCACGCAAAGGTCAACTCGACAAAGAAGAGCTCCGAAACCTTTTCAAATAGATCCAAAAAGCAAGTCCTACACTCTTTACGGGGGGAGGTGATAGGATCCCACATATTTTGGTATTGACTGTTTAAACTTGCATAGATGGTATGTTATCATTCTCACACATTTTGGTATTGACTGCTAATTTTGTATATTATCATTCTCACGCATTTTGGTGTGACTGCTAATTTTGTATATTATCATTCTCACGCATTTTGGTAGTGACTGCTAATTTTGTATATATGGTGTATTATCATTCCCACACATTTTGTTACTGACTGTCAATGTCGCACATATGGCATATTATCATTTCTCACACACTTTGTTATTGGCTATTAAGGTCAATTATTTCAAATGCTGTTAGCTGTCCATATTGTTGTAAAATGTATAAATACCATGGCTTTCTTTATCGTTGTTGCACTTCAATACACAGTCACAGTCCAGCCTTTGTCTTTTGATATTTGCGTGCTTTACTAAATCGGAAGGTACGACAAGTAGATAGACAGATTAGTTCAGGCGCAGACAGAATAAGGTGAAAACGTCTTCATTCAATTCCCTACCGTTATAACAATACGGTATACATATTTTCACTATACAGAGATAGCAAAGTATCTTGGCTGCTACCGTTACACTATGATATTCTGTTTACAGCATTACATCTTTTAAATTTTAACACAGATGTTTATTCACTTTCCACTGGGTTTTAAAACAGCCTGTGAGAGATTCAGCTACTGAAACTGAAAAGTAGCCTCGTATCAACAGTCCAGTGGTACCAGCACTGTGGGGACATCTCATCTATTTGTCTTTCTAGCATTTTGTGATTGTTCGTGTCTCAAGGAAGTTTTGTCAGCTATATAGTAGAACGCATAGATCAGTTTCCTAGGTTCAGACCACAGCAAGTCGGTTTGGATCGTATCATTCTTTTCATAAAAGTTTTCATGAGTACGAATATCTAAGGAACAATCTAATAATAATTAAAATGTATTTCATTATATATATATATATATATATATATATATATATATATATATATATCCTTACTGTACTGACTATAACTCAGTGAGCTAAATATAGGTGCTTATTTGTACATTTCCTAATTTTTTTCTTTTTTTCCCTTCACGTTCCCAGTGGAACATAGGGCTTCAAGCTAGAGGCTTGAAGTTTCTGTAGCAGCGGTATTTATTTTTACTGGATGGGACTGCTAGTCCCATGCCCAACCTTTCCTCTTCACCAGCTTTACTTCTAGCTGAGTGAGGTAAAGTAGTGCGCCGGCCGGGGATCGAACCCCGTACCATGTGCATGGTCGGCAAGCGTCCTAACCGCTATGCCACCGACGCACACATTTCCTAATAAAACACTGATATTTTCCTTAAGGAAACAATACACAAGAGAATTCATTACAGGCAGAAAGTGTCCACTTGAAAACTACTAATACCTGATGAATTCAGCAGAAAGGAGTTAAGTGAGCTGCTAAAATTCTCAAAAAAACCCTAAAGTATGTAAGCTTTAGCTTTAAGGTGACAAAAATTTTGTCAAAATCAATTTTGTACTAGATCTTTTGCTATCACGATAAAATCTCTCTTTTTGTATTACGCTTCAACCATAATTACTTGGTTTCTATTTATCTCATTATACTTATCTTAGTTATAAAATTTACTTATCTCATGGTCGAAATACTAGAATGAATAAACTGTCTTAAAACTGGTCCAGAATGACAAATTGAAGATAACTCGGAAAAGTATTAAATTTAAAATGATAGTAGTTATCAGCAGCCCACAGTGTGAATAGTGTAGAAAAATGACACATAATTAAATTATCATTCAGACTACTCACTATCTGTAAAAAGAAACCTCTTTATATACGACTACAATTCATGGGCGATATACCAAGCGAGATAATTGCGAAAAAATTAAGAAAATCAGTTCAAAGAACTTTTAATCCTGGCGAACCACGCGTCTTATTCTCTACACGACCGATGGTGATTCCACGATTGAAAGATGAAGTACCTAGACTAGCTACTTCTAACTGTATCTATCACTTCAACTGGGCTTGTGGAGCCAGTTATATTGTCCGTTGCTCTAGGAACTTGATTTTTCGTGCTCGAGGACATCTCCCAGCATGGCTAAGTAAAGGTGTAGTGCAAACTATTAACAGCTCGATATTGGAATATCTGGTGCAAACTGGCCACAAAGTCAGCTTAGATGTATCCTTCTCTATATTATACCGGGTGCCAAGTAAATAAAAAAACACTTCAAGATGAATTATATCTTTCGGTTAGCCAATACAGGACGATAGCTGTTATACATCAAGTTAGGAAACATAGATAACTGAACTCCAACCGATAGAAGTATATCTATCAGCTCACTTTTGCATGCACTATCACACATGCTAAATAACAAGGATTTAAATCACTTGATGTGCTGGGATAGATTTAAATCCATGCGCTTAACGGACTAAGACACGTTCGCACCTCACTAAACTACTTCTGCTTTTCTAAAAGCTGAAAGGATTTTATTAACAACTATTTAACCAGAACAGTTTTAAATAGTCATTCTATTCCAGTCCTTGAATTTCAGCCTAAGATTGTTGCATTATAACTCTGAAAAGTGCTTTCAACTCTGAAAATCAATTAAGAGGAATTTCAAGACGTCATCTCACTAAGAATCTGTCAAAATTCCAATACAATGACGTCTAGATTTTAAGTATACAGGACTTGACTGTTTTGCCCTCGAATGGTAGGCATCTAAGTAATTTGGAGTCGATACATTTGGTTCTCTTGATAAATTTCGATAAAGAAAGGAAGACGAGATTTGCAGTATTAAATGATATCATTCTATTTCACAGGTTTTCATCAACTGCAGACTGCTTTAATGTTCGAGTGGTGGTAGAAAAGAGATACTATAAAATTGACGCATCTAAATGGAAGCATTACATTTCATTGTAATGCAAACTGGTTGTTTCCCACGGCAGTTCCTGAAACAAGTGAGATCGACTAAACTCCCACCTTCTCAAAAGAATCTCCCTCGAATAACTAAATCTGACATCGAATCGTCATACCAGTATATCTCCAAATTGAAATCTCGTCTGGCTACCTATGATACCCTACTAAGTGAGCTTAATATTATTCGCTGGCTTAAATTCATGAACTTTATCAAAGAGCTACAATCAAAAACATCCGAGGATTATGAAACTCAGCCGAAAAAAGCGTTGGTGAAAGAGAAGCTAACTGAAGAATTCCCAGAAGCACCAGAACGCTACGTTTGTAATCTATCAAAATTACAATTAAACAAAATCGAATTAGAAGCCTTATCTCTAGGATTCAAGTTTCACGTCCCCAAGAAGCACATCAGTCGTATAGACACAGAAGCACAATTCGAGCACTTATACCATCAACTCTACGACCTGAAGCCCTTAGACGAAGATAAAAGAGGATGGCTAAAGTCTAAACTTTTTGATATTGCTAACCAATACCACATATCACCAATGGAGAAGCAGAAGATGCTGACCGAAGAGCATAGAATAGCTCTGAAGAAACTATATGAAAACGATGAAATCGTCATATTTAGACCTGACAAAGGCTCTGGGGTTGTTATAATGAAGAAAGCTGATTATATGATTAAATTGTTAACAATTCTAAACGACAAAGAAAAATTCCAAGTAGACAACAAAAAAGATGCCACAAAGTCATTTGAAAATAAAGTTAATAAATGTCTCAAAGAACTTCTAATGAAGAAACTAATCAACAGCGAAACATATAATAAACTGAAGTCAAAAGGTGGACGCCTGCCGTCTATGTACGGCCTACCAAAAATCCATAAAGCAAATGTGCCATTAAGACCAATCCTGTCAATGATTGACTCACCATGCCACAAGCTAGCTCGATGGTTAGCTGATTCTATAGAGCCCATTCGAATTAAATTTGCAACCCACAGCCTGAAGGATAGTTATCAATTTTCCAAGGAAGTTGACAATATCGACATATCAGACAAACTCGTGGTATCGTATGACGTGGCCTCCTTGTTTACAAATGTACCACTGATGGAAACAATTGATATAATTTGTAAACAAACGGATCTACTACCATTACCGGAAACAGAGATGAAGCGACTTCTACTTCTCTGCACAAAAGATATACAACTCAAATTCAACAATCAACTTTACCGACAAATCGATGGGGTCGCAATGGGTTCGCCTCTGGGACCTATCCTGGCTGATATCTTCATGGGCTACCTTGAGCAAACACAACTAAGTTCTGCTATCAATGGAACTACCTACTATCGCCGATATGTTGATGACACATTTGTTGTTTGCAACGATACGGATCACGCATCGGCACTATATGATCGCCTAAATGAGATACATCCAAATATCAAATTCACCATGGAATATGAACATAATAATGAGTTCAATTTCCTGGATCTAAATGTAAAAAGAACAAACGAAGGCACGGTCGAAAAGTCCATCTATAGAAAAGAAACCTCGACTGTCCAATATTTTCACTATAACAGCTTTTGTCCCATAAGCTATAAACGTGGATTAGTGAGTACATTGTATGACAGAGCCAGAAAGCTATGTTCACCAAACAAGGTCGAAGAATTAGTTCTCGTCGAGAAGTGCCTAAGGGAAAATGGATACCCTGAGGGATTTATTCAGAAGTACAGCAGAGAAAAAGATGAGAAAGAAAAGCATCCAACTGTAGAAAAAAAAAGTGTTTATCTGTCTACCATACAAAGGAGATGCAGTGTCACAAAAGATTGACAAAAGACTGAAAGGTGCAATAAATAGATAATAACAATAATGATTTACTTTATTCTAAAAACAGTACTTGTGATACAGAATGGAATTTTCAGCATTAATCACAATATTGCATCTAATTTCCTCAAATTATAAATAAAATTAATCACACAGAAAATTTTCCACATTTACAATAGAGGTAGTGTCAAAAACATGCAGCATATAAAATGGAAATAGCAATAATAATGATAACAGCTAGGGTAATAATAATAAGAATACAAGTGAAAATTGCCGTTGGCTTGTGTCACACAGTATTGTCAATGTGGTATAGAAATCCTAACATGTTTAAAAATATTGAATATAATGTTCTCTTTACATGATATGGTG